ATATATATGACTTACTGCATGCTCATCTGTTGAGAAATTCCATATATATATATATATATATATATGTACACTACACAGTACTGAGCATGGCATTCACTTAACTTATAAATATATATATTTTTCTACTATCTTACCATATACATTTCAGTACATATAATGTTCTGCAGGTCACCAAAACATCATCATTATAGTTCTTTGAAGTCCCCCCCCTAAAAAAAACATGCCTCACCCTTAAATGTTCCATTTGTTTTACAAGTAAGTCGAGCCTCAACTTGTGAAATTCTTCACTGACATCAGAAGGGCAGTTAGTTGAGACAGGGGATAATGGTATCATACCCAGGTTTTGTTTTCGTAGATGATCTTGAGTCTTTTCCATGAGTACTCTTAGGTCTTCACTTTCATCAAATAATTCCTCGAACCTTTGTTTCCAATATTCTGAGTTTTTGTAGCAAACCTAGAACATTTAATTTAAAAACATTTTGAAGAAAGCCCAATGATTATTTCAAAATGTAGCAAGATATGAAAAAAAAAAAAACATTTGTTTACAATAATTGTAAATTTTTGTAATAATATTACATCTACATGTAGGTTACTGTAACTTTCTATAAGGGTTGATTATTTGCATCATGTCAGTTTGGAATGGAATAGATGAAAGAAAAACCTCATACTTGAAAATTATTCTTAATAGTCAATTTCTGAGATTGAAAATGAGAAGTTCATAAAGATATATTTTGACTTATTATTAATAACAAAGCCACCTTTATAAGTGTTTAATTACCATGTTTAAAGTTTTTGACTAATTCTTCTTCTTAAATTATGTAAAACAGAAAAGAGCTTCCTTCTTTGCCAACTTTAAGCCCGAAGAAAAACTCACCCCAAAGCACTTCACTTGACTTATTATATACAGCCTCCATAATCACGATTTAGTAATATATGTTTTGTGGGATAACCTAATCCAATTTGTACCGTGGCAGAGGAATCATTTTCCCACAAGTATATATCTCAAAAATATATTATTGGATGTATAAACTATTATCATACCACAATTTTTATTGACTTATGTCTATTGGACACCTTTGCTTCAGAAAAATTATAATCTGTTATTTTTTCCATATTTTTATGTAATTGATTAAGTAAAAAAAAAGTGTATTCCTTGAAGCTACCTCTTAATAATTTGACCTTTAGTACTTGATAAGCATTAAAACAATAAAGTCATAACATTTTATATGCTTCTATTAACTCTGTTCACATGTGGAGAGAACTGAAATGATCAATCAGTTAGCATTATTTAATCAAAACTTAATTTTGTTATACCTTAAACTAACCATAAAGGAAGATAGTTCTATTTGAAATATGTTGTAATCTATCACTGATCATGGGCAGGCTTGTTTGTTTTGGATATTTATGCAAAACTAGACAAGAATTATCTGCACTAGCAATCTCTCATTTTGAACCCACAGATTAGAGCAGTATTTCTCAGCCAGCTTTGGTCGTCGCGACCCACCATTATTTCTACAAGGATGAAAACATTCTTAATGTTTCTTGGCACAATTCGTCATAGCTTATAACAAAGGTGATATGTGCACCACTCAGACTCCTCAATGACTCAAAAAATAAGATGTTGACTCTGCACAGACAGCTCGTGACCTCCCTGGAAAACTGCTTGCGACCCCCTTGGGGTCAAAACCCATCATTTGAGAAACACTGGACTAGACATTAACAGCACTGACTGACAATTTTTGGTTTACCCTAAATGAATAGCGGGATTTGACTAACACTCTTATGATGCACCCACAACCCCATATAAATGTTTTTAGGGGAAGGAAATAGAGTGTAAACCATGGACACTAAGATAAATAGTCCAGTACACTAGCTACTAGTTCATGTCCAGCACTTGGTTTCATGCAACATATTCCTTCTATAATCTAGTGTTACATACTGTAGAGCCCTGAAACTCTGATGCTAGTTGACTCTCTTGTTTCATACATTGGATCAATTCTTCTTCCAGCTGCTTTAGTTTAAGGACTTGACTGCGGGTCACCTGTTTCTGATACCACCACTGATTTGACCAACCTAACACAAAAATATATTGTTATTAATACTGTTTCATAACAGACAGTACTGCCACTGACATGCTTATTTATTTTAACAGTTGTTCTAGTAATTCCATTCCTTAAGGCAGTGGATTAACAAAAGCAAACTATTAAGTAGAAAACATTGGATTTTGGTAGGTATTTCTATTCCTAAGGTTAATTATTAAATAGAAGATGTTACGTGTTAGTTTGTACTTCCAACCCCTAAGACAATGTACTAAAAAAGGTTAACTATTAAATAAAAGATACTAGGTTCTGGTATGTACATGGAATATTTTAGCTTTTAGTACATGTAGGCCAAAAAGAATATGGAACCTTGATACGGAAACTAGGATTCTTGAGGCCAAAAATACCCAACAAGGAGAACCTAAAAAAGCAGAGAAAAGGATGCATACACATACAAGAAGAGGTGTGACATATCATGAACAACAAAATCAACTCTAGAGCAAGATGATCTAGAACAGGAAATCATAATCTTATAATTTCATTCAGAGGCTAGAGAGGCACAAATTATTAACCTTGCAAAGAAACCATAAAACTAATCCAAAACCAGAAGTTAAATTGACTATATCATAAGGTATGTAACATCAGGAAAATAACTCTTAGAATTAGATTAATAATTCATAGAATAAGACAAGCCCAATGATTAATGGAATACCTCCGAATAAAAGAGGATAAGTCAAGAGACTAACCCATTTTGAATAAAACCAATGTGAAAATTGATGTACAAAAATCATTATAAAATCTTTCAGAATAGACCAATATCATCTGACCAGAAAGCTGAAACTGAGAGGTGGGAAAAAAAAACCAATGCACAATCTGAATACCATAAGATCAATGTAAAATTTATAATGATAGCAAGCCAATTTATTAAGATGGAAGCGATCTAAAGAAAAAAGCCTTGTAAAAACTTAGTACAATAATGAAATAGAAGTAAAAGAATTGGAAAATGACAGATTAATACCACAAGATAAATTATTTTTGTATGTGTGTGTGTGTGTGTGTGTGAAGATACACAAGGGCTACCTGCACCAGGCATCTGTAATTTTGTATTAATAAACTAGAACAAAGGAAGCCCCTCAACAACACCTACCATCAACTCTTGGGCCACTCTAATTGTACATTTAGATTTGATCATCAATCCTATAATTCACCTATGACCACCAAAGTATGGAACTTTGTTTTTTGGTGGCAACATGGTGCAATCCATGGATACTACGATCCACAGTCTGGATGCTAACCATTATGCAATGTCCAGCCCTCACTAAAAGATATCAACTCATACAATGAGGGAGTTCAAAACAGGAAATGAAGATGATACAAAGACAGAAATGAAATAAAAAATGAAAACTCAAATAAGCAAGATATCCCTTGATCTTTCCTTCTGACAACGAAAATACTTGACTAAATTGCATGAAACTTAGGACATACTAAATAGTAACTAGTTTGATTAAAAAAAAAATCATATAATTTGATCTAGTTTTTTCTATAATTGTTTTATGTTGTGAGACACAGTTTTGAAAAAAAAAATCACAAACTGTTTTGCTTAGAATTTAATTTTGTTTATCTTGATCAGAAAGTTCCATTTTATATAAGCAATCAGTTTCAAGTTGAATGATACTCATTAACATTTATTTTGATACTTCTAGTTGGACATCAGAAAAAAACATGGCCAAAATGTTTTACTGGTGACTTATAAACTTGACCTATCACAATAGCACCAGGTCAGGTTAGGCAACAATATGTTTGCTAAAAAAAAATTTATATTTAATAAACATACTTTTCTTTTAATAAATTATAAGTTCTTTTATTTATGTCTTCTTTTAGTATTATAAACTTGATGATAATATTCAATAAATAATGTTCCGAGTCAGCAGGATATTTTGTCATTGCCTATTGTACTCACTAAACCTAATAAGGCTTACCCGATGTCTTGTCATAGAATAAGATTTCTATAGTTTTCAAACAAATGTAATTCAGCATAAAAATACTTTCAGGAATGAAAAGAATGTTTAGAAAGACAATAAAGAAATTTCCAGAATTGTGGTTTGTTCCTAAGTCTTCTAAACTGGCTACTACATTTCAATGTTTTATTCTGCATGAGCTAGGTCTATTCGCTTTTCCACAAAACCATAAGTGACTTCTTGAAACCCTTTTTTCACTCTATATTGATGTAAGTAGTTTATGATCTACTCTATCCAATAATATTTAAACTTTGCTTGTAGCTATTTTAAAAGTAGAGCTACATTCATAGCTGCGAGATCATAAAAGAGTGAGAATGACAGATCATCCTAATAAAGTATAGAAACAGAAGGAAAATCACACAAAAAAAACAAACTTTGGGAAGTGTATTCTCAAGGGATGATGGTTTCTTACTAAATAAAAACCAATGCTTTGGGATGAGTAAAAAGTTTCTTTACAAATCTCTTAAGTGTGTTTTTAATAGGCAAGGTTCCATGGAGCTGTGTAGAAATATATGTTTCTTCATTTTACTTTGTGAATTAAACTAAATAAATGCTACAAGATATCAATTACAAAATAACCTGATAAAAAAACTTTTGAAACAGTTTAAATCATTATTTTTACTTACATGTTAAAACTTGATATGCAGATCTATACTTGAAACTGAAAAGGTGCTCACCAGTTCAAAAGGGGTTACTTACAAATCACCATTAATCTCTTTTACAAATATCTAATGCTTCATAGATGTTTAAAAAAAAGAGAGACTATAAAAATACACATACTTTAAACATAAGTAAAAATTAAAAAAAATTAAATGTGTCTTATAGCTGTAAAAACTAATATACTGTATTTTAAACACCTACCTTTCAACAAAATACTAAAAGTATCATTTTCCACATAAACTAAGATAAAAAATAAACAATACCAATACCATTTTCTACAAGGTTTACCAAATAAAAAGCAAAGATAAATCTATAAGTACCTAGAAAATGTCCCACACCAAGTCCAATCACTGCAGTAACTGCTAATGCCACAATAAGATTCAGTATCACATTTAAGCGGGTGTTTGGAGTGTGAACATAGTGTTTAACTCCTGGCTTCATGTCTACATCAACCGGTAATTCCTCACGGATAGGGGACAGTGAAGAAGCATCTGAGAGATCTTCATTAATTATTTCGACTCCTTCATTGTTTATGAAGTTGTTGTGATCTATCTCAGCTGCAAATAAAAGTTCTCTTGTCAGAATAAATTACTGGTTTTGGTATAAAAACAACACTACAAAGTTGTATGTGTACCCAAATTACTGGTTTTTGGTATAAAAATAACACTTTACCAGGTTGTATGTGTACCCAAAACATGCAAAAATAAGCTTATCAAGTACACCATAAAACTTTACATAAGACTAATTAATGAACAATCATCAAATAAACACTACCCCCCCCTAATTATCCACCTTTTATAAGTAGACCATAATTTTATAAGGTATGATGATAATTATCAGGACATCATGAAAATAATTCCAGGAAAACACACAAAAAATTATGGGTTTAAAAAGAAGCAGACCTGTGAGAATACATGTTGTCACAGTAAATAAACTGTGTAGCATGTTTAATTTGTACCTACTTATACAATATGCATTTGTAAGATAATACTATCTAACTGCCATCTAGAAGGCTGCTAACAAACAGATAAAGTTAAAAACACCTGACTTGGCTTTTTTTAAGCTATTAAAACCATAAAACATGAAGTTCTCAAGATTTGTAAAGATGATAAATCACACTTGACCTAAAATAAAAATACTGGCACAAGACATATTTCAAACATAAATAAACTTTTATTGAACAAATGTGCCATGTGAATCTCTACAGACAGGAAAAGATGTTAGATGTAATATAAAAACTCTTTGTTTGTATAATATAACCATTTAATTTTGCATTGGCTACTGGACCAAAGCACGAGGCAACTTCACCCACACAATTGTAACCACTTCACCCACCAAATGTCAAGGCTATTCTGACCAAGAGTTAGTTTTGTTTAGAAATATATTACAATTTTAAGTCAACCTAAACTTACTTGAATGCCACATTAGCCATGAGAGTAAGAACCATTAAAGAGAAAGGAGCAATTTGTGTTTCTAACTTTTCTATTTTCATGTATAACCAACATGCTAGAGACAATCCCACTGAAATCAGCTCAATATAAAGTAATCAGTAACCACGGAAACAACAAAAGATGCGAGACATTACAGCTGTGTTTGTAGCAAAGTTGTGACTAACTGCAGATATTGTATGTTTGAGCAGCTCCCACTTATTCTCTACAAGCAGGAAGGGGTATTAAGACATATTGAAAGTTATTTATGCCAATAAGAATTTTGTTTAGTCATATATATATATATATAATGTTTTCTTTCAGTTAGTTTATCTGTAAAATTTCTCTCTGTATCTTCAAAATATCAAGGAAGTAGAGTAGATTTTTTCCTGCATGTCTTCCCTTTCATTCTTTTCATCAGCTATGAATGTGTATGTTCTATAGATCGTATACATCAGCATCTTCATCATCAAATGACCGTATTCCCAATTGTTTGGGGTCAGCCAGTAATTTTGGAAGCCAAGAGTTTTTACACCCAGACGGCAATCATACAGGACGAGCATATTCAGCAACAGGAATTCAAACTCTTGACACTCGGATTGTGAATTAAGCACCCTAACCACCAAGCCATCAACTAATAAACATAATTCTTTGCTACAATGCAAGTAACCACAATAAATGAATTGTTAGGTTACAAAAGTAATAATCTTGTTCAACAGTTAAGGTCAGGGTTAAACGGCATATCCAAATACGAATTTGGTGTATTACTCTGAAAAAAAAAATGTATGTGCGTTTTGTCTGTTTATTAGCAGACAATTGGTATTTTGTGCCTTCAATAAAAAAAAAGAGTGTGTTTCATTTTTAATACTACTATTCACATTCAAATTTTAATGATTAGGTACATGTAAAATATCAGCATAAGTTGCAAATATTGTTTGTAACTTTCCTTTGGAGCTTTTCATCAAAGATATTGTTAGAAATGAAAATTACAACTCTCTCTCTAATATTGAAATTTTAGTGTTAAATAGTCAATAGGAAATAATATTTTTAAATACTGAAAACAAGCCAAAATGCTGCTGAATACAGATAGAAAATTCTATACCAATTATGTCATGTGGGCAATAAAGTTAAGTCTGAAATTTACTTACGTGTAACATTGGGAATGTTACAGTTTGAATGATTGGAGGGTACTAGTAACTCTTGTGGTGTCTTAGTTTCATCCATCTTCTGAGGTTCATCTTCCATCACTTCAACCTGACCCTCTTTACAAACTTGTGAAGATGCATCATCCTCAATAGCAAGTTCAGTCTGCTTACTACAGGGCTCTTCCTCAGATGCTTGTGTTTCTTCTTCTTTTGCCTCAGATACAGTGACTTTTGGTATGTTTGGTTCTGTTCTGTGGGTTTAGAAACAAACAAAATTATATACTAACTAATACCACGTTCTGCACAGAAATACATTATATAAATTAAAACTAATTTACAGCTTTTCATATGTACTTAATACCAAAAAGCTTTTTTTTTCTGGATTCTTGAGCAATTATTTCAATAGTTATTTACTTAATATAATCATAAAAGTATTTCTCATAAATTGGGTTTTACTGACACACTTCATATGCTTAATTTTTTTCAACCTTACTCGCATCATCAGATAAGAAACAACAGTTGCCTTAGTCTAACATAAAAAAATACTTATAACAGTGCATTTGCAAAACCCAATATACATTTTATTTTGAAAATTTTAGACCTTAATTCAAATTCAAAACTTTCCAATATACAACTTTAAGCCTACATTATACTTTAGTACTAACAATAGTTAAAATAATACAAAAATGGTCCTGATAGAAATGTAAGCCTACAAATAAAGGTGTACTGTATTGTACATTTAATTTTGAAACATCAGACAGTGAAAAATTTACAATAGAATTTATATTCAAACTTAATGCATAACAAAACATTGTTTGGACGTTTTAACTTCACACTATTTGCCAAAATGAACTTTATCTCAATTTCATCATATATATATTTTGAAGCTAATGGATTGATGCTGGAGGATTAAGTATTAAACAATATTTAAGAGATAAAAAAAATATTTTTTGTTTGTTATGGATGTTTGCACAAAGCTACACAATGACCATATGTGCTATCTACCCATAATTTTGAATTGACAGAGACTAGAGGGACGGCAGCTGGTCAACAGCAGTTACCACCAATTCTTGGGTTACTCTAATCAAATAGTGGGATTTAACAATCACCTTTATAACGTACCTACAGCTCCAAAGTGTGGAGTGCAAGTTTTGCAGCAAACAAACATGAGTAACGAACTCTCAGGTTCATTGTCTGCTATGCTAAACACAAGGCCATACACGGCCTAAGAGAGGAACAGAAAAGAAAGAAAGAAATATATATATATATACACACACACACGTCTGAAATCAATACCTATTTCATATACAAGTACTATACTCTGTTAGGGCCCAAAATTCTGTTCAATTTATATCTGCAATAAAAATTCAATTTAACTCTTTCTCTTCAACCTTTTACAGTGTCATGCTCATTGAAAAACTGAACAACTTTGTTATTAACATACATCAATGAACTTGGCTTGAAAAAGTATATAAGTATTCAATTTTTTATTATCTAAGTCTGAACTTTTTAATTTTAAAAAGAAACATTTTCAAATTCTCAAATTCTATTTTTCTGTGTCATATGATGTGTCAGAGGTCTAATTTCTCCATTTCAGGGTTTTCTAAAATTAACTACATTGTTACAGTTTAAAACCAATTAGGAACACAACTACAAGCAAGAATATAAAATTTGCACATCCTATCTTACTGATTTGCTGAGATATTATTAAGTTTGTTAAACCCACCACAGAAGCCCCCCCCCCCCCATTCCACTGAATTTCGAGATTGTTTAGCTAATCAACTGATGGACATGGTTATAATCTTCTTCTACATAAAGTTCATTACAGGTATTTGAATTTGGTGCCCAGAGAACTACAACCTGTCATAGTTTCTTTGTACATGAACATTATCTTCAGGCTCTAACTGTCTAAGAGGACTTTTTAAAATGATTTATAACTTGTTTTAAAAGCCAAACAAATTATAGTGTTTTGGGACATTCTAGTAACTGATATATTTTTGTCTTCTAAAATGCATACATGAAAGCTACACAAATTTGCTTTTGAACATCAAAATTTGTAAGACTCAAATTGTAATATGTATTTTAACAAAAGTAACTAAAGTGTAAAGATGAGAAACTTCTAACAAACTTTACTAAAATAAAATGTCTAAAATATCACAAGCATGAGTCTAAACAAAGAGCATGCATGTTGGATATGCTGTTTATGGTAGGTCTACTGGAAACAGCTACAGGCTTCCACTGTGATATATTGCTCCTGTCAAGAGGATTACTGCTTAAGTTGGTACAAAGTACAGTAATAAAACCATAAAATGAAAATATAAGAGAGGTGAAAACATTAACTGTTAAGATAAGTAATTCTGAACTTTCTAATCAATATAACAGTGGAGGTAGAGGAAAAACTGTAATACTCATTTTATTTCATATTTTTCAACTTATAATTTCACTGCACATTGATTGTTTCTCTATAGCTTGAGTAAGGGGGGGGGGAAAGAGAAAATATAATTTTTTTTTATATTCATTTTAGAGGTTTTAGAAGTTATGCAAATTAAATATGAAAATTGTAAGATGCAAAGAAGTATTTTTATTCTTAGCATGAAAATCATCTTTCACTCAGACTGACTCAATATAGATTTTGGATATTCAGATAAAAATTTTAAGTAGAAATATCATATTAAAAAAGTGTTTTTTCATGCACAATAGATGTTTAATATTTACTAAAGGCTTGCCAAATTGCATGAAAATACACTTAATAAATTTAAAGTTATAGTACGTATATTTTTGAAAATACTTATAGAGTCAAACATATATATTAATTATTTGTCCTTTAACTAAAAATATATAACTTCTAACATTTTTCTTTCAGTTGAACTTTTGGAAAGTTTAACATAAAACAAAACAGAATTTTTTCATCAAAGTTCAAGATGTAAGCTATCTCAAAAAGAAAAAACTAGTGGATTGCACCATTATAAAAAGTTTAACCTTTTGGCTTAGCATTGTTTAGTTACTGAACTGGATTAACATGAAAAAGTTGACAATGGTAGAAAACTGATCAAGATATTTAACGTACTGTTCCTCACATGAATTTTGTGACAAATGCTTTGTTTGTTTAGTTAAGAACAAACCTACACAATGAGCTATCTGTGCTGTTCCCATCACAGGTATTGGTAATAAATGCAGAGTAAATGTTTGCCAATAGCAACATAATATAAAAAGATATTAAAAGTAACTGGTAAAAGGATTTGTGACTTAGCTCTTAGTTTCCATAGAATAATAATGTATTCTGAAGCACAAGTAAAATTAGAAATATTATTTATATCTAAAATAATTCACTTCTTTGAAAAGACATTTAACATATTTCTCATTTTTGTTTTGTCAATATTACAAATGATGCATTTGTGTGGTATTCTCTAGAATTACTAAAGACAGGACTGGTCCGAATAAAAAAAAAGCAACTGTTTAATAGCACTTTTTTAATCAGAAATTGATGATAAAAATAATTGAGACAATTTCTAATTTTGTTTAACTTCAACTTACACTTCATCCCTCTCAGCAGATCCCTCCTTAACTGATTCAACAAGCCCTTCTTCACCAAGGTCTTCATTATTACTTCTCTGTAAAATACTATGCTATTTGTATTAAGACATACACTGCAAATAAAAACCTACAAAAGAAATTATATTCTGTGGCACTTTAGGTAATACTGATTCAATCCATATTTTTGTATACAGTATTTTGACTCTAAATTAGGCTTGGATAAAATTGTAAAACCTTTCTACTACATTGTTTTCAAAAATATTAAATATATTTTTTTTTAGTTTGTAAGTTACTTAAAGAATATCAAAGTTCCTGGGCTTATAGTCATAGTAAACCAACTTTCTTCTAAAACAGTTGCATATGGCTCAAAGATTCCATTAGGCAAGAAAAAGATTTCAAATATTAACACTAAATATTATAATTTTTTTTTTCTACACCAAATTATTTTTCACCCCACTCATTGGTTCATTTATATTTTGTTTTTTGCTAAACTTAATATATCAAAGAACTCTGAATTACATTAGCATATTGTCATTTTTGTTTATGATTTTCCTGCTTTAAACTAATGACTTCAGGTTTTGTTTGTTATTTTGAATTTTGTGCAATGATACACAAGGCTATCTGTGCTAATTATCCCTAATTTAGCAGTGAAAGACTAGAGGGAAGGCAGCTAGTCATCATCACTTGAATAATGAAGGAATGGTTGTATCCCTTACATTTTTTTATAATTATATTTTTCAAAAATAAATTGTTTATGATAAAAACTTGGTTTACATAAAATTAAGAAATGTCTCAAACTGGTTAATTTAATTAACATGCAACTGTTTATTACATATATACCAATGTTACAGCATAATGATCTACCTAAACCTAATTTTATGCACATGGAACTCTCACTGAGAAAAATTATCCAACATTTTTACAGGAGATTATTCTATACGATTAATTGAGATGACTTATGTTAATTGTTTGTACATTTATACTGCACTGTTTTGAGAGTTTTGCAGCTGTCTTAAAAAAAAAAAAAGGAAAAAAGATAAGGGCCAGGTGGTTAGAGCACCCGACTCGCAATCTGAGGGTCACGGGTTCGAATCCCCGTCCCGCCAAACATGCTCGCCCTTTCAGTCGTAGGGGCGTTATAATGTGACGGTCAATCCCACAATCAAGAGTAGCTCAAGAGTTGGTGGTGGGTGGTGATGACTAGCTGCCTTCCCTCTAGTCTTATACTGCTAAATTAGGGATGGCTAGTGCAGATAGCCCATGTGTAGCTTTGTGCGAAATTAAAAAACAAACATAAAAAATTATCATTAAAATGTTCACATACTATGTATATTACTCTAAAAATCTTGAAAATTACTGATTACTTTCATACTATATTAAAACTATTACAATTTTACACCTCAGCTTTTCTCCACTGAAAGCCAATTCTGAAAAACAACTATTGCATAATCAAGTCATAACAGATACAGATTCATAGTAACAAGACCAAATGTTTGTACAAATCATTTACCTCCATGCAAAAGCTGTGCTACAGGTCATATCTTCCACTTTAGCTAAGATACATCTTAACACTGTATGTATGTGCACACACATTTATACATGTAAAGAGGTTGAGAATGTTATATTAAGATGATTTTGGAGCCAAGACTCAATATCATAATCCATGTCACCATATCCAGTTATACTGTATCTGATGGCATCTTTACAACAGCCCTGCAGTGTAGTTCCTATTGCAAAAGGCACTGTATTAATGCTGTCATATCTAAAGCAAACAGCTCTTCCCTGAAGCTTCCCACAAGCAATCAATAACACAAAAGATTGGTATTAAAATATATAAACTGATATAACATAACAATATAGTTATGGTGTTAGATATACATGACTGTTTTAATTTAAGTATAGCACGAGTATTAAATTTACTTATTTTCAGAAGCAACAGTTTATCATAGGTTTGTTTTTTGTACTCTGTATGAATTATATGTTCTGTAGTCCCATTGTTGTAATTTGGTGCTTATATTATTGCATCATGTTAGTAGAGCCTTCTAAGTTTTTCTTATTGTGGTATTGTTGTATCATATTATCTCGTAGTATGTGGAAAGTTCTAGGCCTCAGTTGGACTATTTATAAATATGCATCCAAAATGTAGTTCAGGAAAATGAGACAAAGGTAGTGAGAGATTTGAAAAATAGATCTAGACTGCATGATTGTGAATTTAGCCATAAAAGCATATAGTGGCAATTTCTAAGTGAATTATCACAGATTGTATTGTAATAACAAAGTAAAGGAGAAATAATTTCTCTTGTCAATTGTATACTAAGGTAATTGAACAAACCTGTGTGGACTTTTGATGAAAAAGAGAATTATTTAAAGCTCTGGATACAACTGTGATGATGAAAAGTTATAATCTTCCTATACATAAAAGGTATTTCCGCTGACATAAATCACTATTCTCATTCAATGCTGCCCTCTATATGTAAACATTTTTATGCATGCCAAAAGCCTTTTATTTCCTCTCCATTGGAACTGACTGATTCCAATGCATCTCTCATGCAAATCATCATGCATCAATCCTCCACCAATAAGAGTGCAACATATTCTCACTATGCATGTAACTCCCTCTATTCAATTCTACCAAACTATCACTTTGAGTTTTGGCAAAAGATGGAAGCACCAGTTTTCAGTGGGGAGGGAAGTTTGAGAGGGGAGGAGGTAAGTACCTATTGGAAATGCATTTTCAGTATAGGAAAATTATAACTTCTGATATGGTACATTTCATCCTCTCACATAAATAGCTAGAATCCCACATTCAACAGGTGGAGGGACTGGTTTCACACCTAGGCACATCCTTTTAATTTACCCACTTTTATAATTTCTGGAATAGAGTTGCATAAATATTATATGGTTTGGATCACTATCCAATTTTAGTTCTCTTGAACTTGGACATGCTCCTCTGTTTTCTACCCATATGTGTGACAACTTTCTACAATGGGCGAAGAGTATACCTGGTTCAGAAGTGGTGTGGTCCCGCACATCAGATCTTAGAATTTGACTGTCTCCTCTTAATGTGTGTCCTTCGTTCACTTTCAAAGGATTCTTCTTTCCTTAACTTGCGTGGATAGTGCACAATGGAGTGTGCACAGCAAGTCAACTATATCCAAAACCCATGCTACTGGGAAGTGACATCCAGGCAGGGGTAGGATGAGGATCATACTGTTGGTAAGTCAACTACAATACAAAACCCAGCCGCCAGGTACCGACATCCATGTGAGGGTAGGAAAGAGGATCATACCATCTTCACCTCAAGTTCACGAGGCCAGAGAGAATAAAGACCCATGAACTGGGCACATGTTAATATGATAAATTGATCTGGGAACCCGATATCCAGTATCGAAATGATGTCTATGTAATGTAAACCATCTCCCTCAAAAGTTAAATTGACAAGCACAGGAGCATCCTCAGAATAATAAGCATTGAAGGATAGAGGAAGGGGAAGAACAGTAATAATCTTTACCATGATCCACAACGTGGATGGAGTAACAAGAGTATAATTGAGGGACGAATATAGACATCTGTAACACATATGTGAGGACTTATGTTGATTGGTTCAACTCTAAATCCAAAACACAGCCACTGCGAACCAACATAAGATGAGAGATCCCAATCGAAGGAGTGAACTGCAATTTTGACAGGTCACACCCATTTATATTTGTTTCATATTGGAGGATATCACATCATCTACACCAGCAGAACACCACTACCCTACTCTCGACTGAATGGTTTTTATAATCATTTCTATATTTGATTTTTATTTCATTAACCTATTCAGGAGGATAATTCCATGGTCCACCACTCCAGCAGTTTGGAACTGGAAAGTGGTAAGGACTTCCAAACTCCACTGCATGAAAAAGGGGGAAAATGTGGTGGAGAGTCAGAAGGAACGACAGCACCCGAGACAGTGCAAAAGGTGATCACAAACCCTAACTTTAAAAGCAGACCATACTGATTTATTCAATACATGTCATGGCAGGGATGGACAGCAATCCCCTTCTGCTTTACCCGTGTAGTCCATGGGTAAGTATGATCCAGAATGGGCAAATTTTTTTTGTTAAAATTTCATCACAAGGATAAACCTACAAGCGATCTTGTGAAACACCCCATCTATGCAGTGTGCTTACAGTAAGGATTTGATCTTTTAAAGAATACCTGGTTGGGTACCACTCCCCACAGAGTGGGATCCAAACAATGAGCAATCAATCTCACAGAATTATGAAGAATGGCTACAGGTAGAAGACAATAACCCAAAGAGGAAGAAAACTGCAATCCAACACAAATAATGAGAGACAAATTTCCATTGGATCATGGTTTTCTTCCTCTTTGAGTAGTCGACACGCTTGATTAAAGGAGGACAAAGATGAAATACCAATGAAAAGGTGAGGTATTGAATGGATGACAAGACACCTGAAACAAAGTATGGGAGGAAGACGATAAAGAGGAATAAGCCAATCGAATTAAGAGCTGAACCCAATTGGAGAAGGTGGAAGGGGAAAGATCATGAACAGAGCATGGATGCCAAGGAAAAAAAAAAACAGGAATGGACCACAGAGAAGGAAGCCATGCAGGCAATATAACAGAGAAGAGCACATACAGGACATAGAAATATATCTGGATCAGGCCGAGGATAAAGGTGTGAAATGGAAGGGAACTTGGCTAAACAGAGGAGTTATTCTCATGAGCCACAAGAGTTAGGGAGGAAAAATGATCTGGAAAAAGGAGAAGATATGTAGAAGGATAAAGAGTATGTGAAACATCGATGACAAATAAACAGACCACCAACATCCACAGGCAAACAGGAGAAGGAAGAAAGGAAGATATAAAGGAAGGTGAAACAAGAAGTACTTGGAGAGTGGATCAAACGTAAGCGAAGTGAAGCAGTGCAGAACCACATTAATATCCCCAGCTGGAAGGGCAGCCTGCTGCAGAGGGTATGATGAATCCAGTAGGAACAAATCAACAGGTAAACACCTGCAAAATTGGGAAAAACGAAAGGTGTGGGACAGGGATGCCCAAAAATTTGAGAACGAGGGGGCAGAAGACCCCTAATCCAAAAGTCAAGTGAGGAAATCCTCATGATAAAGAACAGTGGGTTGATCAGGAGAAAACCCTGGATCCAGAAACCAACAACAGAAACACATTCCATTTGCATTTAGGAAGGGTGAATGAAACAAACCAGAAAAGAAGCTAACCATTGGGAGAGGCTGGATCTCCTCACCAATGACCAGAGGAAAGCCAAGCATGAAGATGGAGGACAGAAAGATCCAGATGAAACACCAGTGACTGAGGGGGGCAAATAAGGGGCAGAGTCAGAGAAAGAGGTAATGGAGGAGGAAGTTGGAGCTGGAGAAATTACAGCTGAGATGGCCAAGAAGGAGAAGGACTGAACACTGAGTGCTGATGATGATCAAACTTACCCTGGAGAAGAAAAAGAATTGGAGGATAGAAAAATGTGTTGGTCCAATCCTGCCTGAAAACATTGATAGTCAGAACAAGAAGATGAGGGACTGGAGACCAAAACCAAGGCAAATTGTAGTTAAGGGACATAGCAAAAGCTTCAATGTGAGGAGTACCCCACTGAAGTCAAAACCACTGGAAAACAAAAGGATGGAGAGACCACTCCATCAGAGAAAAGTTGTATGGATGGGAATCTGATCTATGACAAGAGTGAAAGCACCTGGAACATGACATGCAAGGATTTGAATATCGAGTTTGTGGGCCCAGAAAGAAGATCTAATGTATAAATACAGAGGGATCAAGAACAGGTGCTGCCCTTGTGATACAGATAAGCAATCACTGAAGAAAATTCAGAATGAATCATTAGCAGACAATTTCTGACCAGATGGAGAAAAGGAACCAAAACATGACGTACAGTGAGAAGCACCAAGATGTTGATATGATAAGACCTCACAGCCACAAACCAAAACCCCAAATTTTTCTGTTGATCAACCCATGCCTCCCATCTCCGAAGGGATGGGCCTATGAAATGTGTAAATCTGGATAAGGCAGAAGTGGGAACCCTGCCAATGTGCAAGTTGTCTAACCACCAATGCCAATTGGCGACAATGGTAGAAGGAAGGGTAATAAGAGTCGACAAAGGAAGTCCCTTGCAAGATTTCACTGGTCCTGAAGAGACTAAGAAAAAGCCCGCATAGCAGCCTGACCTAAGGGGATAAGAGCTACCATGGAAGAACACATCTCCAAAAGTGACAGAAACTCACAAGCTATAATAAGAACTGAAAACCCATCAAACAAAGTCAAAGAGAAGAAGGATGGGCTCGACTGAGATGGCTGTTGAAAAAGAAAACACTCAAATGGATAAGATATTAGATAGGTCACAGTGAGGACTTCTCAAACTTGATTTATCAGCACACTATAGCTGACTCCAAGAGCAGCTAATAAGGATATCAAGTAAACTTCTGTTTGGAAAGAGCTAATAGTAGCCACTCTAACCACCTAACAAACTTACAGGGCTGAAGTAAGTCTGAATGGCAGTGCGTGAAACAGATAGACCACCCCATGAAGAACAAACAGAATAGAGGTTTGCGAGTAACAAGATATCGGGATATGCAAATAAGCATTCGTGACCTTCCTCATGGTTATGTATAAACCTGGAGAAAAAGCCCAACTAAAGGTGAGAAATTACTTCAATGTAAAATGGGGATGATTGAAAATTAGATTGAGGCGGGAAAAACCTTGTACGGGCCGACAGTCTCTGGTTTGTCATGAGGACAACAAACAGCCTGAAATAAAAGCCTGGAAAAAAATTATGAACAGGTGCAATGGCGTGTTGAGACAAAAAATCTTGTATTGCTTCAGACAAACACTGGCTGGTGGCAGAATCCCAATTCATGGGGAAGGGAAAAGGATACCCGAGACAAAGGAGGTGAAGAAAGAAATAGTAGGACAAGTCACTCTGAAATAAACCCAAAGAACTAAAGGATACATTCAATCTCCCTCTAGACCAGAACTCACTGGTTAGTCTCTGGTACTATTGGTGATATGGCCATCAACACTGAATAAAACGATGAGATGAGAAACCTCTGGAAAGAGAAACAGAGAAGGGTAGATAAGGACCAGGACAGGAAAGGAATAGGGGCTTGTCCAACTGTGATAAACATACAACCACGTGATTCCAAAGTCTCAGATACATGATCAAAATCATATTGCCAAAGAAAAAAGGGCCATATGTAAATCCCTAAAACAAAGAGGTGGCAAAGTTTTTTTTGCATATAGAGGGCAGCACTGAACGAGAATGACTATTTATGTGATACAGAGGTAATGTACCATAACAGAATAGGAAGAATAATTTGTCTTGTCAATTGTGTTCTAAAGTAACTGACCAAGCCTGTGTGGAATTTGATGAAAACTGTGAAAACCAACAGTGTAATGAACATTTGTATATAAGTTTGATTTGTTTTAGCATATTATTTTAGAACAAGTGGATTGTGTACTGTTTGTTTATTGTTGAAATTGACTGCCAACATATCACAGACACCTACTGTAAAGAATCTGGCCCACACACATATGTAAAAACCTGATACATTGTAAATTGTCAGATTTCCTTTTACAGGAAAAAAGTCTACATTTCTGATACTGTACCGGATATAACTAAGTTATCAGGTTCTTTATAAAGCGTAAAAGGTGTTTTATATAATATTACATGTATTTTTAAGATAAGAGCAATTCACTCCATCAAGAATGCCCAGGTTTTGTCTGGTTCTAGCACACGTACTATGTAAACTGCAATTTAAGTTTCTCTCCTCTGGCCTTTTTACATAAACATTTATGATTCTGTTTAAAAACTCTTATTAATATACATTGTATATATTATAATGTATAAAAATGAGTTAAATTTGTCTAAATAAGTTAGGTGATACTAAATATACTTGAGCTGTTTACATTAAAAATTTATATATCCTTCACGTGTGTGTGTGTGTGTGTTGGGGTTAGGCCTACAGGAAAATTAAGTACATATACACTGTATGGTACATCAGTACCAGTATATACATTTATGTGCCAACTTACTGTCATTCACAATAGTTAATTTATATTAACCATTATAGTATGGCATACAATCTGTCACATAAGGGCAAGATTAACAGCAAGTAAAAAAATGTCTTTACACATTCTAATGATCCATTTAATTTTTTAACCATTTTCAATCCAATGATGAAATCTAGTTAACAAATTTAGTGAATGTTAAAAAGATAATTTTGAAAAATGCATTACTAATTTTAAACAAGTTTTTAAAAAGGTACAAAAATTACCATTTTTTGACACTTTGTGGATTTTTTTTCACATTCACTTCTCACGCATACTTAATACAAACAATCCTACTTTTGAATATGTTACTTTACTGTTTATGATTTCAGACTGGCCAGAACTCTGCAATTATGTTAGTTTAAAATATATACAACACACACACTCATGTATGCAGTTATCAACTTCAACACTTAACAGCAAGATAAACTACTAGAGTGTATGACACGTCACTTTATACTTAATAAAGTTAGCTCTTCCATGTATAGTGTAATATTTGTACTTGCTGATAAGCAAAATGAGAGGAAATGAGGGACTTTTCTCTATACTAGTATACACATACACACTCACATACATATGTTTTGAAATATTTAACTGCTTTGTATTTATGCTGAATTTTCAATACTTAATATCTGTGTGTGTGTGTGTGTGTATATATATTAATCAAGATAAAACACAACATACCCTGAGGGAATTCTAAGTTTACACAACATGAAAACATTTAATTTGATAAAAGATGAAATATGAAGTTGAATTATCATTATACAAGTACATCAAAATTGAGTGGTTATAGATCTGATGTGCACACATGTAATAAGAATTTGAAGATAACTAAATTACTCTTACTTGGTATAACTTATGTTACTAAATTACTCTTACTTGGTATAACATGAAAAAATTAAGAAAAATTGTAAACTTCTGTTCTGTTAATACTGTATTAAAAAATACAAAAATCTTTAAATTCAACAATACATAATACATTTGAGTTTCTAAGAGCATAACTTCTTACAATTTTTGTTTAACTGCTATAGTATGAGCTCAGGTTTTATGGAATTTTAAGACATTTCAGGATCAAAATACAATGACACTTTGTGAAGTGCAGAAACTGAAATACATGTTAAAATGTTTTAAATTATTAAACATTTTTTTATGTTATACAATGTAAAACGTTATATTAAACAAATTAAGAGGTATTAGCAAAGAAAAGCAACTCTCCAAACCTTGATGTACAACCGCTGGAAGTAACAACTTTTGTACCTGAATTTAATGAATATATCGTGCTATTCTAAATGTAACCAAACTAAAGTTACCAGGATAATTTATTTCATGTTTTTAAAGAGTAATAATACAAATAATTACTAGTCTATTTGTTCCAATGGATGAAGGGGAAATCATAAAAAAGAACTTTCCTTAATTTACCTCTTGTCCATCTTTCACAGTTGATAAAAGTGTCCATCCATTGACACTCTCTGAATCACTATTTTCAGTTGCCATTTCACCATCTATATCTTGGAAAATTTCCAATCAAATATCTATAATTATATAAAGTATATTACTTTATAAAATATCACATTTACTACAAAAGTATGACTAATTTTGAAATAAAATGAACATGAATAGCAAAAAAATGTTTTAATATGTTTGTTTTTTTTTCATTTAAAAGGCATCTGCCAGATGTTATCTCAACTCACCAAGTAGTCAAATCTCTTTGCCAAACTACAGCATCTTCAGTATAATTTGGAATACTCATTAATTTGATGTGTGCAAGCTTAACCAATTTTTTTGGTTATTCCATTATCAATGTAATCAGGAAAATGAGAAATAGCAAAGGGCCCATTGAGATACATCACTAGTAACATTAATCTACTGTGATTTTACTCCATTAATAACAACTTTCTTTCTTCTACCACCCAAAAAACTCGCAATCCATTTAACTAGCTTCACTTCTACCCCAGCAGATACTGTCTTCCTTAAGATTTACTAGTGAGTGATAAGTTAAAATTGATTACATTTTTGGTGATGCTTTCAGTAAGAAGTTAATTTGACTGCTACGATGGAAGAGGATTATAAAGAGTTGGTCAAATAGGACATTAAGTAATCTAAAAGAGTATATGAAAAACAGTTGGTTTCAAATGTACAAATTAACATCAATAAACTGCATAAATTTGTTGACAATATTAAAGTGTTGGGTGTTTCTGGTTTTCAGATGGATGTTGCTGCTTTACATAAGTATTTAGATTATTTGGTGAGTTGGGCAAACAAATGGCAGATGGCTTTCAATTATATTAAATGCAAGGTAATGCATGTGGGTTATCATAATCTAAATTATAAGTATAATTTTGACTGGAATACCTTAACATTGTTATGGAAGAAAAGGATTTTGGTGTTTTGGTTGATCAGTCTCTTAAGCCCTCCAAGCAGTTTGGTGTTGCTAGTGGTTGGGCAAGTAAGATTTTTAAGTTATATTTACAGAAATACTGAATATAAGTCTAAATAGGTTAGAATTCATTGTACAGGTCACTGATTAGGCCACATTTGGAATATTGTTATCATTCTTTGGCTCCTTATCTTAAAAAGGATATTGGATTGTTGGAAAGGATTCAATGTAACCTAAAATGGTGTGAAAAAACTGTCATATAAGGACAGGTTCAGATCTCTGAAATTGTCTTTGCTAAAAAAATGAAGAATTATAGGGATATGATTGGGATGTTCAAGATTATTATGGGAATTGACAGTGTTGATGCATCATATCTTTCCTTACCTAATGGTATGACAAAGATATCAGTTATGACAGGGTAAGAGACATCTTCAACTATGATAGTTTTACTTTTCTACCAGGATGGTTGTCCTTTGAAATGGGTTGCCTTCAATTGTGGTGGATACATTAAATTTTAGGGAATGTTTAATAAAGATTTAAATGATAAGGGCTGTTGAATTCATTGACGGGACAGCTGCAATGGGTCAACAAGACTCTTGTTGTATTCAAATGTTAAGATGAGTATAATCTGTCATCATGGCCACAAGAGATGTACTGTAGTGCAAAGATATACTCATGAACTCATTCTAAGTTGATTTTACTCTAAAATTTCACTTCTATAATGTTAATTAGGGTGGTCCTTATTTTTGAAGCTTTGATTTACAACACTCTTACCCCCTCAATTTATTCCAATACATAAATAAGTAATTTGCACCAAATGTTATCTATACTGAATAACATTTAGGAGTTGCTCAAAGTAGTTGATATTGTAGCTTGTATTATATCTGCATATTCTGGAATATTTCAAAGCATTTCAAATTATTCAAAATGTTCAAGAACATTCCACATACAAATAAGCCATACTGTCATTTTTTACTTCTGTGTAATCTGTATGACATGACAGCAGTTTCTAGAATTTCTATGAGGGTATATAAGCATTTAAGCAGATTCTTATGTATCATTTCAGCTGATACTGTATTGGCTTATCATTGCAAATGGATACTGCAATAATAAGTAAGACTACTTTGGTACTTGGTTTAAAAGAAACTGAACTAACAAGAAGCCAATTACCTTCAAACAGGAAAGTGCTGTGTGTGTTTTTCTACCATCACAAAAAAGTAAAGAAGAGAGTTCGTGAAAGCTCAAATCTTGTGATAACAGACACAGCAGCTTTTTAGAATAAGGCTCAAATTAATCCAGAACATCATACCATTATCAAACTGAAGAAGCTTTTTAAAAGTTGGCAAAGAAACATTTGAAATAGAAAACTGAAACACAGTGAGCTAATGAAGGAAAGTTTGTCAATAACCTGGATGATCATTTGGACATCACTCATATAAATACCCTGATCCTCATCAAGATCTCAGAAGACAAGGACTTTCTTCTTGCTCAGAGGAAAAGAGAACATCATGGGTGCATAGGCCAGGTAGATAAGGTCCTTTCTTGAAAAGAATCAAGGTCTGAGAAAAAAAAAGTGTAGTAAGTATGGCCAGGAAATGGCATACAGAGTAGTAACAGCAGACCTTGAATGAAACTGTCAGTTATTGGGGATCATCCCAGAGCAGTGATAATGATATTAGTGGATAATGTACCAATAACAGTGATGAGGATAGAGGAGCAATTGAAGAATTATCACCTTCTGAATCTAAAAAGAGGACAAGATGAAATATTATCACTCCAGATTTAGCAGCAGCTATGGACAGGGCCAAATTGAGTGACGGAAAGGCAACATTTGGCCTTACTGCTACAGCTCATAGCCTTGGTCATGATGTGCAGAAGCAATGGTAAAGGAACTAAATCAGAAGGAAGACATGGATGAACCTCCAATGTGCATCCAGTTGAATATCAGGAATTGTGAAGACATGTCAACTGAAGATTTGATCACAAATTCAGGTGATAAGAAATTGCATCTGGATTACGACCCCGAGTCAAAGGAGGAAATACGAGCAATTCAACATTTGAATATGGTAAATGACAATGCTGAATAGGTTGTGGCCCTTATTGAGGAGTATAATTCCATCATAACAAAGAAAGAAAGAAGAACAAAAACAATTCTTCTTTCAAGTTGTGCAGGATCATAAAAATGCTTTCTTAACAGTGAAAAAGAAACAATAACAATTATGAGATTACAGGGTTGTAGATGCAATAAAATAATAATATACTTTAATTAAATCATTTATAATACATAACAAATACGTTTTTACATCACACAGTACATACTGAATCAAGCCACTGGAGTCTAAAACTTCAACCTCATTAAGCAATCTCTAAATATGGTTCAAAATGGATGAAGTTTGACATTTAATATTTATTTTGTACAGTGGAACAAAATTAGAGAGAGAGAGCTTTACAATTTTTAATTTGAAATTTTACCTGCAAATAAGGACTTCCCTAATATTCATACTAACATACATTTTCAACTTAATTCAAGAATGATGTCACATAAAACAACATATATTCATATATAATTTATGTGGACAAGTGGTGACTTGATGAGACAAATGGCTTTTTATCACCTTATTTTCTCTTATGTTCTGAAATATAATTACCAAAAACAACAATCCCCTTTATTCTTACATTGAATGACGTTACAACATTTGTTTTAGATATTCTAAATCACTTTACACTCAGCAGTGGATGGATGATAGCTTCTAAAAACTAAAAATCAGTAGTTGTATACCACAAGATTAAACAAGCTCACCAAAGGCCATCCAGTCTGAGAAGTCACCACTCCAATCAACAAAACAAAGACGTATCAAATTTATGCTAATCACATCCCCTAATAATCTTATACCTAACTAACAGGTTGATATTTTAGTGTAACAACTCACACACAAACTACACGTTAACTATTAAAGCAAATTATGTCACATGTTTGTAACTCTAAAAAAAAGTAATTATTTCATAGAATAAATTTGGATTTATAAAACTTACACTGATATGTATTAACTGTAATCAAGGGTGTGAAATTTTTGAAAAAAAAATGTTAAAAAATTGTTGTCCATGGGACAAACTGCAAGAAAAAAATCTCTTTGCTCACTTTCTGTCCCACAATACACATACAAGAAAGTAAAATATAACTTTTATGACTTTGCTTTTATCTAATGGTGAAAAGCAACCAGCAAATTCTAGGGTTCAGACACCAAGAAAATGTGATAAAATGCACCAATAACCCAATTGTTTACATGATTTCTATATTTATCATATCTACATTATATGTGGTATTTTGCAGACATGGCACAACATGATTTTTAAGTTAGTAAAGTGACAATACATAAATATATTTTAAGAAGTGTCTTATTCAGAAGATATGAAACACTGAAACTAAAGATTTTTTGTGCTGCATTCATTGTCTGTTACCAGCTGTGAGATTTTATTAGTAGATAAACATGATGAATGTGAGTATTAATAATCTTCAGGGCCAAAATATTTTTAAGCCCTTTGCATTTTCTTACTAGCTCTAAAGACTATTTAACAAATTTTTTTATTAAATTGAGATGCAGAAACTCTTAAATTTGATCCCAAGCCATATTTTGTGGACCTCTGGTAATAAATATATATAGAAATGACTCAGGTGCAAAAATGCTGCACATCCAATTTTAACATTTTGAGAAAACCATTACTTTCTGTAGCTTTCACAAAAATGTTACGAAAGATGTGAGTTGCTTATTAAGTAACTTCATTACAAACCATTATAAGCAAGCCTAAAAAAATCTATTATTTATGTAGCTGTAGAAAATTATTTTATTTTTGGACAAATATATCTATGCTCCTTTTTAGTCACGTTGCATATCCATCATCACATCACTAGCAGCTCAATTTTCTTGGGAATGGTATATACTGAATTTTGCATCTAAGATCTTCATACGTTATGTTCTTTCATGTATTTTGTGCTTTTTAATACTTAGTCATTATGATTTTACAGTGCAATATGTAGAATACTCCATGCAGAACTGATAATAAAATTATGGCTTATATGAATGCTGCCACAAACTTAAATGGTGTTTAATATATGTGCATGCATAAAACAGTTTAAATTTTTTGTGACTTTTATTATGTCATACATTCTTTCTGGGGCTCAAAGTCAAAACTTTACTGGCCTATTACTGTAGATAAAAGAATGTAATAATATTATTGTATTATTTTAGATACATTTGTTACTGTGTGTGATAGACTGAAAGTTTGTGAATTAAATGGATATGTTAATTTGTGTGTAAAGTTGTGGTTTGAGGTTTAGTGATATGCTTTTCTACATATTCATGTGTATGTACTACACTTCCACAGTTGAGAATTTTCAGGAACTTGTGTGGCTTCATAGAAATTACCTGGAGTGTTTTTCTAACAACAGAAACAATTAAGTGAAAAAAAAAAGCAAATGGTAAAAACTTGTTGTCTTGGACATCTGGTGATATGAATTCCACACCTTTACCCTAATATTAAAGTTTCTGTTTCAAACTGTATCATTTTATAACTCAGAGCTCCTGCAGACAGTTTATTCAAAATCCTATCCATCTGAATCATCCCCTTCAACAGGTGTTGCCACATATTTGATGCTTAAAAGTCAGAAATAAATAATTTAACCAAGTGAGGTCTTGCCCCAAGAAAACTTGATTCAATTTTGTGTATTTTAGACAAACAAAATACAGTTTTCTGTACAATCTAATGTTTACAATGCTCTGGAGGTAAACTAATCCCACTGTTTTTTCTGTGTAATGTAAAAGTATTTAAAGCCTATGGAAACTTTCAACATCAACTGTCTCAGCCATATCTTGCCAGCCAAGAGCATACTTGCCAAAACATGTTTATTGGCTGGCAATCAAATATCAGGAATCAAAAGTTTTTGTAGCATTATGTCAATACAGACTTCCTTTATGCTAATTTGATACTCATTGGACATTCAGATAGATTACCAATCTTTTCTGTGATGTTTAATTATATTGCAAGTGTTACTGTAAACCAATATTCTTTATATAATAATGAAACTCAAACTAAGCATGTTTCACAATAGGCCTGAAATGTTTATATAATTTATAATTCAAGAACACCTTTACACTAAGAATAAAATTTCTTAAAAAGGCTTTCAGAACTCTGGTTGTTTAACTTACTACAACCACATATTCAGTAGGGGCCCTACAGTCTTTCAAATAACAACATTGAAATGTTTTTCCCTCCAAATTTTCAGTGTGCTTCTCAACTAGAGAGGTATATGACCAAATCCTTCTCAACTACCATATTGTAAATCAATGTTTCCCAACCACAGGTTCATGGACGAACACCTGTTCATCACAACTACCTTGCTTGTCCATGGGATTTCACAAAAACTGACAGAATATTAATGTGTAAATTGTAATAATTTATTGCTGTACTTGTATTTTTGCAGTCAGAGATGGTTTAGGGAGGTAACGAGCCAGTATCTGGTACTAAAAGTGTGGAGAAACACAGTTATAAACTAGGTACATTTCAAAATAACATACAAACAAGGGACTATTTAGTCTTTCAAAGCTGTCCATGCAACCCTCCCCCCTCAAAAATTTAAAATTAAACTATATTTTATTTTTTTATGAAATCACTGACTCCCTCAATTTAGTCTGGTAAGGTGCTAGCTTCAATTACTGCTGATGGCAATTCATTCTATATACTTATCTTCAAAATCATGCACAAATAAATCAGAGGCATTTATCCTAAACTAATTTTTTTAAATTTCAATATTACCTTTTTCCATTTTTTCTAAACAGAAAATAAATTAAAGAGATCTTAACTTATTCCCATAACTGATCACTCTTTCATATCCAAAATCATTCTAGTAGCCCTCCTCTGAAACCTTTCAAATAAGTCTATATCCTTAGTTCTATTCCAAGGTGACAGTTTATGATATTTCAATAATTAAACAATGACATATCTACCTGATGGCCAAATAAAACTTTTGAAATTTATTGTCTGATATTTTCACCGACTATGCATGAGAATGTTCAAAACATCCTCTCATAGTGTTGGGCAAATACCATATAATAAATAATTACACATGATTTTTGAACAAAGTGGATTTTATAATAACCTTACAATAAGAATTAATTAAGTTCTAAGTAGCTTTGTAATATTTCAATGTACTAATTAATGGTTCACAATGTTTATTTAAGTGTGTAATATTAAAATACTTTAAATACTCATCTTGCTTTACCAATCAAGAGTTAAAAAAATTGGAGAATTATATTCAACCACCAACAGAACAACTTCACTACTAATAATATTTGTAGGATACTGTACATGTTAATTATTAAACTACTACTAGATCCAGGCAACTACTTCTACTAATACTAACTTCCAACTTGACACTAAACTTTTTAAAGCTTTAACTTACACTTTTACAGTCCCAATATTAATAATCACAAACATCACACTGTTTTCCTATTACATTTTACTGTCACTACGCCCAGTATTGTATTACATTACAATTATGTTGTGTATTGCTGTAATACTAACAGCGTAACTTTTCAAGTTTTACTTTTAGGATAAAACTCAAAAGTTAAACCAACTTAATACAAAAATTACTTCATGACGGATACACTATTATTTCACATGATCGTGTAATTTGTAACATACAAGCGATAATCAGGTTAAATTAAGCTAATAGAATTTTCGAAAAAGTATAATTTCTTATTTAATATATTATAATTCAATACCAAGCTATAAACATGGAGTATCATACAGTCTATTATATGAAAACGCCACCTGCAAAACTGAAATTGCGTTCAACTCCACTTTTAAAGTTATTACATTGTAATAGGAACATTATAACATAATCTGCACGAATTCTTTGTTGGAAATTAACAGTAACCATAAAAACCCACATCACATTCATTAATAAAGAATTATATTTTAACCTAGCTGGACTACCCGTCCTCTGGACGGGAGTTATGTAAATTTATGATTAATGAAAGGTTATCTTCGGACATGAAAAGTTGCAAAAACGCCCATAAAACCGCAAAACACAAAATGTAAAAATGAAAATTTTTATATATCTCCCCATTAACTTAATGAACCTCCGTAACAAATTAGGTGAAGATCCATCTGCAGGGAGCGAAGTAGTGATAAAAACGCAAAAACACCCATAAAAAATAGCAAAACTGACAATTTGTATGTACCCCCCGCATGTACCTAATGAACCTCCATACCAATTTTAGTGAAGATCCATCTACACCCTTCGAAGAAGTTATATGAACATACAAAAGACAGTACTATTATATATATATATACATGTGTTACCAAGACATCGCCCATAAATAATAAATTAATAAAACAAAATAAAAACATCAACTTTGTAGCCTTTGTAAAATTATCGAACACGCGAATCTCAGTATCATAAATTATATTGTTACGTCTCCGTGCGTTAATTAATTTTCCGTAACTTTGTTCCGACGAAATTTTAACGACACAAGTCTTTACTTAATAAAACTGGTTTATTCTTTCCGAATATAACTTTACCGATACACTCAACTTCAACAATCGCGCTAAAACAACGCTATATCAACGAACGTCAATAATACTTCTGACTGCAGATCAATTACACACTGTCTATACACACATTACCTTACCCTCTCGCGTCACGTTTTCCCTCTTATATATACCAGCCTACCCTACTAGTAAATACTAGAGCATTCGCCAAAGTACATGATAATTCTAGAAACGTTGCGTCACTGTAGTCATGTGACTCGCTGACGCAACAATATTATAAGAGTTTATCAGTTTTATTTCGTAGCAACGAAAACCCTACATTTTGCAATTTGGAAGTGTACTTCAGATTATAAAATTCATGTGCAAATATGTATCTATACCATTAGATGAGATTGTTTATTACCTGTATTTTATCTCTTACTTGATTGTTATAAGGTGATGGTGAATCCCCCTATTCGTTGGTAAAAGAGTAGCCCAAGAGTTGACGAGGGGTAGTGATGACTAGCTGCCTTTCCTCTTGTCTTTCACTGCTAACTTAGAGACGGCTAGCGCAGATAGCTTTCGTGTAGCTTTGCGTGAAATTCGAAACAAACAGATTTGATTATCTTTTAAGTAAATAAATATTACATATATTCTAAAAACCTTTCGTTAGATTACGAAATAGCCAATAGCTATGGTACCGTAGCTCATTTTCATTACCAATACTTTTCTCGATTTTTAATGCTATTTATCACGTTTCATGCTTCTAGCCAAAAGAAGTATTTGTGGTAGACATTCAGTGGCGGGGGTAAAGGGGGGACATTTTCCCACCCAAATTTTTTCTTCCCTCAATTTGACCCCAGAAATTTAATCTTACTTACATAGAGCAAATGTAATGTGTATGACAAGAAAACACGTTCGCACGCCCACAACCATTTTACGGGATGTTTTTTTTCTTGTATGCTAGAAGTCAACCAGATATATCCTACAATAATAGGTATTCCTTTTAACCCTACTTTCTATATTAATGATACTATTGCACTAAATAATTATTTACTTAATTAAATAATGCTCGAAAGAACACATAATAATAACATGTAGAAAGCAGAATTTGTCCCATAACTACCACCATTTTTCTGGCTTTCTGACTATCCCACAAACGTCGTTAGAAATTAATCAAATCTGGTTGATATGTGTGTTGTGGGAACAAAAGTAAAACTAAAACTGAAACTACATATTGTCTATTGAGAAAAAAGAAAGTATAATAACACGCCATTTCAAAGGCAGAATCTTTGATTTTCTATTGGTTATACATAACATAGGATTAAAAGTCAGAGAAAACTATCAGCAAGTTATGAAAAGTGGGTGTGGCAAGAGGGGTATGATTTTCCATTTGATAGCTCTGTAACTAATGAAGATTGTATGCTACAAATATTATGCTTTGCCTGAGCGATGACAATATCATACTGTCCCCCGCAAAAGGATTAAAAAGAGTCCTAGGCCTCTCTTTCTCAGAAACGTTGATAAATAAGGTCTTCAGACCGGTTTTGCTGTAAACAGTTGTGACAGCATGGGCTTGTTATGTACCAAATTATCTTCCGCGCTTTTACTTTTTGTCTCATTACTTGTTGCGATGTTTTTCTTCAATTTTCTATGTATAGAGGTCGTGGATAACTTTAAACGATACATTTTACTGTTGTCAATTGTTACATGAAGTTGGTATTCTGCATACATGTGCAGACACATCAAGTCTTACATTTGAGAAAATGGATATTGGAATTTTTTTTTCAAAAACCTGCATAAATCACAGGATTCCCAGGGTGATGAATCTGTCAAGAAGACAGGTGGACCAAGCGAGAAGCGCCGATGTACTGAAGATCCGACATATGAGATTCATTTATACAAAACGAGCCATCTTGTTTCCTACCATTGGTAGTTTTCTTGGTGAATTAAACAAAAGATTTAATGTGGAAAATTTAAAAATGTTCCTCTCCCTGTCAGCAATTGACACCCAATCTGAAAAATTGCTCAATTATGAGACTATTAAACCTCTTGCAGTCCATTATAGGTAGAATCTTGGAGACATACAAGTGGAAATGAGGCAAGCTAAGAGAATGAATAAGAATTCAGGTACGACATTTGGAGCAGTCGATGAGTTTGCAGAACATCTATTTATGGCTTTTAACTGAACTTTACAAAGTTATAAAGACAGCCAGCTGTGAAAGAAGCTTTGTCAAGTTAAAACTGATCAAAAATCACATTACAACTAATATAGCAGATAAGAGATTGAAGAGTTTGTTACTTATTGGAATTTCGAATGGTCTGAAACCGAGTTAACCGATAACTAAATTTAGTTGTTAAATTGTACTTTGGATTTAGCAGTTAAGTAAAAGCTGATATATATAGTCAGTTTATGATATTTGCCAACAAGATTGATACACACATTTTTCTTTTTAACGCTAAATACGTTTTAATATATACACAACAATACAATTTACAATAACA